TACTTGGCGAAGTTGTAACATCGTTACAATTTCTACGCGTTATATAGTGTAGGTTAAGATAGCTTAGGGGCTACCTAGCTTGCCTAAAACATAACACTAGCGCTTTATACTAGATAGGTATTATCTAGCTACTTAGTAAGTTATAAAAAAAGAGCTAAGTTATTTAATTATAGTGCTAACTCTATAGAGTTTAGATGCTGCGCCCCTAATGCAGACCCTGGCTTTGAGGTGGGTGAGATAGCTATTGGTGGTGGGTTGTTTAACCATTGCCCTATTCTGGGTGTCCAGGCGACTCCAAATTATGTACCAGGACGGGATGTTTTCCTTAGCTTTCCCTTCCACTGTTGCTCAGTGGAGGCACTGAATGTGGGTTGATCACTATGTCCAAGCGCGAATGTGTTGGTACTAACATAGATGTATTATCATGCAGTTGTTTACCCGCCCAATTTTGTCTTTGAGAATGCGCATACAGCGTCTCGCTATGACTGTTGAAAATCTTCAAGCGGTGGAATGTAGTATTATTAACCGAAAATATGGACACGTGCGCATATCTCGTACATAAGTACTCCGGATTTCAGGTCATCCTCAATCTTAAGCTCTACATTACACCCATTCTCGCCCCTGTTGTCATATATACAATATTTTCTACCATATAATTTCGAAGTGCCAGGTACTAGCCGTTTCCATCTGGGGTTTCAATAGAAACACCTTGCGTGATGGATGTATTGCTTTTTCTCACGGTGTCCGCAAAAGCATGTAAGACATAATGCCCACCGCTCGCGTTCAAAGGCAGTAGACATCACGGTTTTCAAAGACTTAGACAAAGAGAGAAAGATGCGTGCAATGAAGGAGAGTGTAATTAGATTGCGACTACACTGTCGGCCTATACGGTCTTTGTGTTGTGCGCGCATTGCTAGAACAAATCACCGATCAGGTGCAGAAAGTGCCAGTCATCCATGGCGAGAAAGGGTATTCAGCACTCGAGACGCAGACCCAACAATGACCTTGCCACTGTCTAGAGACATCTGAGGAAAATAATGTTTGGGATCCGTGCTAATGCAACGCATTCCACCGACAGATGGAGATGCTCAACCAGGACAGCAAACCCTTAGATATCCTCATCAGTCACGTCCTCGCCACCACTGGGGCCCTCCTCGGAAGGCTCAGCCTTGACCTTTTTGCTCTTGGGAAAATCATCTTCCTCGATATCGTCATCTCCAGAATCCTTCTCCTTGGAAGAAGCCTTCTTCGGGGCGCTTGACTTGCGCTTGCGAGGAGCCGGCGTAGGAGACAACGGCTCCTCTCCATCATCACCATCTTCTTCTTTCTTGGCACGCGGTGTAGCCTTGTTTCTGGACCGGGGCGTCTTCTGCGTCGCAGAGGCAGGTTTGGCGGGCGTGCCGGTAGCAGAAGAAGTCGGGTTCGTGGCTCCGCCGGCAGTGTTCTTCTTCTTCCATGAGTACAAGCGATTCTCGACAGCCTTAGGGGTGCATTCTAGCGATCATACTTTAGCGATGAATATCAAGGAGTAGTAAATGAAAGTATGGATGCAGCTGTTTTGCCAAATATGGAGAGAATGAGTACGTACCGATTCCAATGTCAACGACACGCTGGGAAATCTTGGCGCAGAGTTCCTTGCCAAAACTGACATTGCACTCCTCAAAGACGCCGCGGAGGACCTGGAAGATTGGTTAGTCGCTGCGATGGTGGGTGCAGGTGTCGAAGTAATGGCAAGATGTACTTACAATCGCGTCCAGCTCGGGAGTCCACTTGGGCATCTTGGCGATCGTTGATGTCTGGAAATCTGTTGACTCAGTTACTACCGGCGATGTGAAATATGGTAGTGGGTTCACTTACTGATGTGTGTTCAGGTGCTTTTGGTAGTCAAAGTCTACACTACTGTGTGGGTAGAGAGTGCGGCAAAAGGCGACCCAAAGGCTTGATCAAAGAGCGAGTAGGGAGTAAAAGGAACAAGTAAAAGGCTGCAGCAAGGGAAGTATTTATACAACTACACTAAGAGTGGGGAGAGTGGCGCAAGGCAGAAGTCGCCGTGGTGAAAGTGAGTCCACCGCACGGTGAGGGTTCAAGGCCTTGCTCTCACCCTCACCATCCCTTATCTTGTATTCATTTCAACCCTTCACTAACGCAGCGGGTTCGCCATTCCTATGCGCTGGGTCCAGTTGGGCCGAAGTGATAGAGCAAAAGCTTATCATAATAGAATAAAGGTCGGCAACGTCTTACAGCATACAGTCGGGAATGCAAGCATGTTGACTGTGAATGATGGTCGAATATTACCCTTTTTCCCCTCAATCCTCTGCTATTGAATCCCTGGCTTGGTATCGCTTTCAGACTAGCATGCTTTATCATGTCTGATTTTCCACATCTCCGGACCCTTTATCGTCCCTAGGGCCATCCTCTCCACCCTCCTTTCCACCTTGCTCTGATTCACTCCTCCCATGAGCAACGAATGCTGGACCAGGGGTCCGCTTCTTCTTCTGCCATGCCCGCCACATCTCCAACAACTCATTCCTATTCGCCTTGTTCTTAACATAGATGTACAGCTCCTGGGGAACAGGACACAAGTCAAGAATGTAATCCTCTTGCTCTTTCTCTTCTTCAGTCATGCTTGCCCTGCTTGCGAGGGTCTCCACCTCACGAACAAAGTACTTTGCCCAACTGATTTCCCATTGGAAGATCCGTTCCCTCCGCCAAGGCTTACGTTCCTTGGTGCCAGCTTCAGTTCCAGGCGGCGAGTCGATAGCCTCAGTTTTGTACTCATCTAGAACCGATTTGCAAATAGCAAGGAGGGGAATGTTGGCGGGGTTCTGTTTGGCGCACAGAAGCCAGGCCTTGCGGAGCCGGTGTACAACGTCTTCGTACGCGACCTGGGGGTGAAGACCACAGGGCGGAAGATCTTTGCTGAATAGCGGGGGCACTGGGTGGTCAGCATGCTGCCAGTGATGTTATGGAGCAAAATATATGAGATCCCAACGACAGGAGAGTAGACGTACTGTATGGTAGTAAGGCGAGCAGCTCCTCCGGAGGCATCAAGCTGGCTTCGCTAGTCCTGCTGTCTTGTTTAGATGTAGTAATGGCACACCTGTTTTTTGTACAATCCGCACCGGTCTGAGACACCTTTCTCAAAACGTCAGTCTTCACAGTGTTCACGTCGCCAGACGGACTCGACATACCCTGCGTAGTTGACAATGGCGCCGCCGCCGCGGAGTTGAGATCAAGTAGCGACGGTGTCCAGGACATGGGTAGTAATAGACTTTTGAATGATGATACTCGTATGTTGGAAAAGCTGAAGCATGGGTCAAAGTGCTGCGGCGCGAATATAACGGAAAGTGAGAAGACTGTCCAGTGGCTGTTTGCGGCTGCCTGATCAGATACGCGGCCACAAAGACGCAGAGTTAGTGCGTGATGCAAACCAAGAACTTTGAAGAGAGACTGTATAGTTTGGCACATGGCAGGAACACACTGACAAATTTCAAAGTGGGGCCCAAGTGCTTGACCACGTCAGAATCAATCCATGACCCTATGACTGCAAAAGCATGGAGATTGTAGATTCACTAGAACTCATAGCGCAACTGTGCCTCGAAGGTCTACAAAGCCTTGCCCATAAACTTCCTCTTGGTGTAGCTTAGCCACCACTTGCTCGGAGTGTTGGTCTCGTCTGCATATACCCTGTTCAGTAACCGTGTTGCCAGCTCCTGGCGCATCTGCATAATGTACTGTCGCAGCACTTCGGCAGAGTTCCTGTCTGGGGGCGGTTCGAAAGCCTGGTTGAGCGGAAATCCTGCGTCGCCAGGGATAGCAAAGTTGGTGTCGAGGGCCGAGTTCATGACGGCCTGCTCATGGAATCAGCCTCCTGTATATCTCCCATGCATGCGAAACCAAGACTGGCACATACCTTCTCAGCCTCTCGCCGGCTCATGCTTGGCTTGATCTTGCCCAGTACCTCGCTCACGTAGAGAATGCCATAGATGAGCACACGGTCCGCAGGGCCCTTGATTTCAAAGTTGCGGAAGAATGTGTTGGCGCGGAAGAGGGCCAGGACCTCGTCTAGGGGGTCGTACGAGTCGTGCGAGGCATCGATGGTGAGCTCGGTGACGTCTGCTGGCAGGGCGGGCAATTGGACGGCAGGGCCACGGGTGCGTGTGCGGAGAGGGAGGAGGGCAAAGTTGCCTGTGGTGGCACTCAGTCAGTCAGCCGTGCAGGCGGGCAGGCGGGCAGGCAAGGCGCATCTGCCAGCCGAGAGGGAGGCAGCGGTACCAATCAATTGCTGGTTGGGCTCATCGAGGAAGACGGAGTGGTAGGCCTGGCGGGGTATCAGCGGGCAATCTTGTGCGGTTGGACATGTGCAGGGAATGGCGGCACTGCGCTGCTGGTGCATTCGGACGTACGGGCATCTTGATATCTGTGTGCTTGCCCGCAAATGGCTGTGGTGGGCGTCGTGTGCTGGAGCTCGGCGGAGGTGACGGGGGAGCTCCGCTGGCCGACTCTGCGGTGACGAGGCGGGGGGGTGACTAAGCCGCCGCCGCCGCCAATCAACGCGTCTCTGCGCGCGGCGCGTCTGCTGTACGGCCGCCGCTTTCTTGCCGTAGTAACAGTAGCATAGCAGCACAGCAGCAGCAGCAACATCCTCCTCCTCCTCCTCCTCCCCCTCGTCGACACTGCAACATCCGCCTGCCTTGCCCGCCCCAGCCCAGCCCCATCGTCTTCGCAAGCATCTGGCACTGCTGCACAGCCAGGCCCTCGCCATGTCGGACATGGAGGATGAGATGGACGTGGATGCGCCTGCCGTAGACCAGTCCATCAGCTTTGGCGGAGACGCCAAGAAGGGCAAGCGCAGCGCTGCCAATCTGCCTGTAGAGGCCCAGGACTCGCTGCCATGGTAGGCACCCGGCTGTGCCGTCACCGAGTCGCCGCTAAAGCTTGCACAGGGTAGAGAAGTACAGGCCGTCCTCGCTCGACGATGTCGAGGGCCACAAAGACATCATAGCAACCATCAACAAGTTTGTCGACTCCAATGTATGCTCTTTGCCCCTGGTGGCGTGCCTGCGCTGACGTCGGCAGCGACTGCCGCATCTCCTCCTCTATGGCCCTCCCGGAACCGGAAAGACGTCGACGGTCCTGGCGCTCGCGCGGCGCATATACGGCAGCAAAAACATGCGGCAGATGGTCTTGGAGCTCAACGCATCAGACGACCGAGGCATCGACGTGGTCAGAGAGCAGATCAAGACGTTCAGCAGCACCAAGCAGATCTTCTCGGCCGCGCCCAAAGCTGGCGACTCGGCGCTCGCCACGTTCAAACTCATTGTGCTCGACGAAGCCGACGCCATGACTTCGACGGCCCAGATGGCGCTGAGACGCATCATGGAAAAGTACACGGCAAACACACGCTTCTGCATCATTGCAAACTACACACACAAGCTCTCGCCCGCCCTTCTCTCGCGTTGCACGAGGTTTCGGTTTTCGCCCCTCAAGGACCACGACATCAGACATCTAGTCGACAAGGTGATTGACGAGGAGAAGGTCAACATCACGCACGAGGCCACGGATTCGCTCGTCACGCTCAGCAAAGGAGACATGCGGCGAGCACTGAACGTCCTCCAGGCCTGCCACGCCTCCAGCACACCACTGCAGCCACCAGGCAAGCCCGCAGTAGACGCTGCTTCGATTGTGCGTGACCAAATCACGCAGACGACCATCTACGACTGCATAGCAGCCCCGCACCCCTCGGACATCAAGTACATGATCGACACGCTGCTGTCCAAGAACGACATGACGGAATGTCTGCGCACCATCAACAATCTGAAGACACTCAAGGGCCTGGCGCTTGCAGACATGCTGACAGCTATCAGTGAAGAGCTCGTGACGAACCATGTGCCACCCCAAGTCATGGTGACTTGGATGTCGGGCCTGGCAGATATCGAGTATAGGTTAAGCGGAGGCGGCAGCGAGGCGATCCAGACGGGTGCAGCAATCGGTGTGGTGCGGACGGGGGTAGAGCTTCTGGAGAAGGGCAAGCAGTGACGGCTGCAAGCGCAGTGCGATGCTTGTCGCTACACTCAGCAAGAGCGATGCCACCTGCAAGATGATGGCCTCCAATTGTCGCGGTGGCAGCGCGGCCAAGGCAATGGCCGTCGCGGGTTGGGGACATGCATCTGCAGCGGTGAACGGACCACGGCGTGGTGGGGCAACCGTATCAAAACACAGAGTCTCCCCGGGCTGATAGGACAGGAGCCGCGTTCGGCGCTAACCACGCTAGTCAGCTGCACGCGACCCTAACGCGCCTTCGGACTGACGTACCGTCGATGTACATACTCCAAACAACACCACATCAACAAACCACAGCGTTGCATCTCCCTCCTCCACCTTGACTCGATTGCACTCTGCATTGTTTTCTGACACCGCTATCCGCCTAGACATCATTTTGACCCAGCACCATACCCCTCCAACCGTCTTAACATGCCTGTCAATGTAGGTCATCATGAAGAGCCGGACCGGGCGCATGGCTGAAGAAGAGCAGAGAGGCAAAGGTACGGCAAGGCGGCGTCCGAGCACGCGCCGAGACTTCGATCCCATACCTCTGCCAGTGCCAAAGGATGTCGCAACGCTGCAGGAGCGACGACTCATGAGTGGCAAACCCAAAAGACCAGCCAGATGGCGAGGGCCCGTAAGTCGCATCGCTTCACCTCGACTTTGCGCGGCAGCACTAAGCATTGCGCAGCAGAACAATGCTGGCGCTCTTTCAACAACATGGCCAAAACACACGGCGCCGGCTGTGCAGTCGCATAGAGCAACACGATCAATTCGCGCAGATACACCCACCTCAGAGAGCCATCCGCCAAAGTCGCAGAATGTCGAGTTGAGATTTTCCTTCTCAGCGACACCAGATGAGTCACCCAGCCCGAGAGGCCGCGAGGAAACTGTCACCCGAAGCTTCTCCGGACTATGCATGACTGGCAGCGCAAATCGATCCGTGTCCGCAAATCCGCCTCAAACTAGAGCCTCTTCAGCCCAAGAACCACGCCGCCACTCTGAATCCATCCCCCAAGCACCTCAGTTGGAAAAACCAAAGAAAAAACGCGAAGGCTACGGTTTCAGCTACTCTGAAACCTTCATGTTCGATTCCGACGACTATCCCGACACAGAATGTGAATGGGAGCCAGACGAGCCTCCATCGCACCCAAAGGCAGACTCCCCAGCAGATGCCAATCCTTACCTAAACTGGGACAGAACAGAGCAAATTTCTCGCCCTGCATCCAGAGACTCAACAGCAACAGTTGAAGACCAGTCCTTCAACGACCTGGTTGTTCTCCGCGATGTCGGATCTTTTCATCTGGCGCGACCCCAGCGCATTCTGCCCTGTACACCCGCCACCCGTGAAGACACGCTTCGCCTCAAGGTGCAGGCCAAAACGCTCGTTTCCAAGTACGAAGAGTCAGCTGATATTCAAGCCCAGCTTTTGACCCGCTTGGAACGTATGATGTATCTTCAGCAGCAGCAGCAGCGACGAGCAAGTACACCCAGCGATACCAACGCAATGGCCACATGCGCGGAGAAGCTGCGCGATTTCCTGCTTAGAGTCAAGGAGGAGAGGGTCGAGACGGGCGAGCACAGTACTATTGTTGAGCACGAGCTTGAATGGGTCACATGGTTGGTACAAGCTAGCAAAACGGGTGTTATGCATGTTAGGACTGAGGGATGCACTTGTCGCCCAGATTGGGACCCAGAGTGATTGTTTAGGTTGATGAGCGAAGAAAAACCGTGTCACACGAGGAAGGAATAGGAATGGGCTGCTTGAACATATTTTGGCGCGCCGCCGGGTCTTGGATGTCACAGTGCCGCAGCGACATGGTATGCATTCGAGGACCCAGGTGGTCTTGACGAGAGAAGCTGTGGAAGAGAGAGAGAGAGAGTGTGTGTGTGTGTATGTGTGTGCGTACTTGCTGCCGTACGAGAAACATCTCTGGCTTCCAGATCAAGATGCCACGACAGGAGAGCTGCACGCTCCAGGTACAAAGGCTGGTGCAGGAAAAGACGGAGAACATCACTCAAATACAGGGCAGCACACCCCTGACGCCGCTAGACACAAAAACAAACAGCCAGGTTGCGCATTTGTTAGCTGCACTAGGTAGAACGTCATACCAGTGTAAACGCATACATGGCGCTACAAACTGTTCAATGAATTCACTCGAATACAACTCCAAAATTTCTCCCTTGCATTCGGGTTGCAACCATTTATCGATATTGTTTGCCTATCGTACCACCACGTGTGCTCCGCCTTGATCTGCATTCTATTTCACTACACAGCATACAAATGTCGCGGGTACTTGACCTGCCTTGTGCAATCTTGGTATCACTGACCAACTCAAGTAACCTTGTGCGAAGACAAAAACGAAAGAAGAAAAAAAGAGGATTTCATGCTTACTTATCAATTTCACCAATCCAACTCTCCCCTCTCAGTCTTTCCAATCCTGGACACAAACTCCCCCCCTTCTTACGAAAGAGAAACGAAGAAAAGAAGAAGAAGAAGAAGAAGAAGAAGAAGAAGAAGAAGAAGAAGAAGAAGAATTCATTGTTGGATCAAGTTGATAACAAGTGCCTCACGACGAACGATTCCAAAGACGGAAAGAAAGAAAGAAAAAAAGTCTAAAGTTTTCCGACATCACGAAAGAAAATAAAAAGGGGGGGGGGGCAGGAAAGGAACGGAGGATGGAACGACAAGAAACGCCACGAAGATGCTGTGACAAAGATTAAGAGAAAAACAGGTTGCAAACACGACGGGAATGATGAAGAGAGAGAGAGAGAGAGATAGAAACTTTACGTTTCAAATTCCATACTGTCGCGGCTCGTCCAGTCCAGTCTAGTCCAGTCCGGTCCAATCTCGTCCCTTGGTACATATGCGGCCCAGATGAACGATTGCAAGAAAAATGTGTGTATGGATGAATGGATGGATGGATGGATGTGTTGAAAGGATAATGCCGTACGTTTGACCAGAATCTCTCCACCATGACCACTTCATCCTCTTCCTATCAGTCATGCTTGTGTGTGTGTGTGTGTAAGTCGTCCTTGTGTTATCAGACGCGCAGCAATGTGGCCCTCCCTCCCTTGGTTCGGCCATATAAAAATACAAAACAATTCCCCCTCCGTCGAGCTGTTCGCAATCTCTTCCATTCACTCCCTTTTCACATATCAACTGTCTACTTGCGCTAAGAGCTCGAGATCCAAGACTGTTATCTGTTCCCACAAGAATGAGAGACATGGCTATCTTCTCCTATAAATATCAGTTGCGTCTCTCTCCCTGCCTGCGTCCCTGCCTCGATTGTCTCTCCGTTCGGGACTTCTCGACCGTGTGCGCCCGTCTCGTCTCTCTTGAGCAAAATTTCGGTTGTTGTTGCGGTCGCGGTAAGCCCGGTTGCGATCGGCGCGGTCATCAGTGTAGCCTTCACGTGAATTTCCAGAGTCGCGGGAGCCTCGGCGCGGACGGTCGTCTGGTTCCCGGGAGCGGCGGGGCCCTTCAGCTCCGTAACTGGGGATGTAGGTGTCGCCTGGAGGGACTGGTCCTCTGCGGCGGTCGGCACCGTCAGGGCCATAGCGTGGAACAGGTGGGAGAGGGTGTCGGCCGTCTGCGGGTGGAGCAGGGAGCCCATTGTGTCCTCCTCCTCCGCCGCCGCCGCCCCAGTTTGGCCGTCGCTCGCCTGGTGGTGGAGGCGGAGGCGGTCGGTGTTCGTATGGACGCCGGTCGTAGCCGCCACCTCTGCGGTCCACACCGGGTGGACCTCGGTCTTGCGGGCCGCCATATCTTCGGTCGCCATTCTGCCATGACTGTGGTGGCGGGCCTTGGCCTGTCCATTCGCCATTTGGACCTCCGCCAACCGTGCCGCCTTGTGGCGCTGGAGGAAGCGCTTGTCTCTGGCCGCGCGCGTTTCGCCGATCCAATTCGTGCGAGTCGGCAAAATGTGGAATGTCTTCTTCGCGCATGGGCAGCGGGTTCTCCCGGAAATAGGGGTGGTCGATAGCATCAAGGGCATTGATACGTTTCCGCCAGTCAAGCCTCATGAGATCCTTGATTAGCGACAGTCCAACCGGACTCAGTTCGCGGAATCTTTGTGCAATATTGCCCGTGCTTGGTGCGAAGTTGCGAACTGGCTCAGCTCCTGGCAGCTCGTTCCAGCCCGGCATGCTCACGTCGGTGGGAGAGCCGACCAGCTCGAAAATGATCTGCGCCTGATGTATGTCGCTCTGGCCTGTGAGGATGGGCTTCCGCTTGAACATTTCACCAAACACACAGCCCGCGCCCCACATGTCAATGGCCGGAGTGTATTTTCGGAGCTGCAGGAGCAACTCGGGCGGCCGGTACCACCTAGTGACGACGAGTGAAGTGTATTCGCGTTTCGCCTCGCCGTTGCCCCTGCCGCGCTGGGGTACGGGCTCGTCGTAGTGTCTCGCGAGACCAAAGTCGGCTATCTGTAAGCGTCCGCGGTTGTTAATGAGCAGGTTAGCTGCCTTCATGTCTCGGTGTAATATGTGGTTATCGTGGAGATATGCTAGGCCTTTGAAGAGTTGGAGCATGTAACACTTGATCTGCGATTCTTGGAACTTGACCTCGGGGTTGTCAAGCAGACCCGATAGATCGTGGTCCATGTAGGGCGTAACCATGTACAGTATTGCGCGTTTCCTGCCCTCGGTCTTGGGACGCTCTACCGCCATCTCCTCCAACTTGAGCACGTTTTGATGCGACAGCATCTTGAGGAGCTTGATTTCCCGCAGCGCCGTAATCGGAAAGCCGTCCTTTTCGTTGTGCATCAAAATCTTCTTGAGCGCAAAGACGCTGCCGGTCGAGCGCTGACGCGCCTTGTGGACTTCACCAAAAGTGCCCTCGCCCAGCTTCTGCATCATCTCGTACTCGCCGATTTTACTGCACCCCTTGAAGCGGCGCTGGGGTGCGCGCGACGGCGTCGCATCCGCCGGCGTCGCCATGGCGGCAGTTGTGCTGGCGATAATGGCTGCCCGGTGGTTCGGAAGTACGTATTGTATTCCGGGCTTAGTGGGCCGGGCGCAACGACACGCCGCGAGGGTTGGTGCGATGTCTCGTGCTGGGTCGGCGTGGCAGGCGCTATATCTCTGGTCGCGATGGCGGGCGCGAGGGCGGGCGCGAGGGCTCGGCACCGGGGCTGGAGGGCGCGGTGGAGAATGGGGCAAGTCGTGATTGTGGCGGGCGAAGGAGTCGAGGACGCGATGGACGGTTGATGGGCACGATCTTGGCAACGCAACGCAAGGTTACTTAGCGCTGGCTGCGATCGACCTTAATCACACCTCACCCACCAAGAGCGCCGACGAGCCATTGCACCCCCGGAACCGCAGGTACGCGCCGTGCGACGCCCTTGGAAGCTGGCACCGCGACTGACACCCTGGCAGCCTCAATCAATCTACACAATGCAGCCCACGCTCCGCCGCATGGGGCCGCCCAAGTATGCGCCACACCCTAACCACCCCATCCACATCCACCCAGCCCGGCCGTTCTACCGGTTCATGGCCACGGGCCTCGGCGCGTCCATGTGGTTCTTCGTACGTCTGAGATGCGGCCTGCGCACGAGAGCGAGAGGGCGAGAGCGAGAGTTGCTGACACGGCTAGTTGATGTACCGCGCGAAGCAGGACGGCCCCGCGCTGCTGGGCTGGAAGCACCCGTGGGACCACTGAGCAACGCGCGTCGTGGGCGCGGGACAGTAGGGGACATGGCGATGAAATGGCGGAGACGACAAGAGGAACGGACCAAGTATATACGAGCGGGGATGCTGGATAGACACCAGGGCCATTAGCCGCATCGTCCCGTGCGGAACAGCGCCAAGAAGTCGACATGAATACAACCACGAGAGCATTCGCGTCAGACGCACACTGTCCTTCTCTTTTCAGGGCCTTGACGGCACCAGGCGTGATTTCAGGAGCTAGCTTGGCTAAATGCTTACTATGCGCGGTGCGGGCTATCGTACAACATAAGCCGGCTTAATGCGTGGCTGGCTTCTCAAAAAGGTAATGGCTTACGCCCCAGGTATCACCCCCGTCCCAGCGGAAGAGTTCAGAGCAAGCCAGATGGAAAACCTGCCATCGGTTCCACCATGTCAACGCATTCGCCTCTCCATACGTCTCTACGAGTCCTTTCCAGATAGTCTCCTTGTTCTTCACCATGGTAACAAGCCAGTCCTCGCACGTCTTGGAGTAGTTTATGCCCGACACCCACCACTGCTTCTTGACTCTCAAGTCGTCTTGGAAGAACAGCAGTAGATCGGCCGAAGGCATGGTACCTCCCGTGAAGAAGTGCTCCGTCATCCACCCGCCGTCAAAGTCGTAGGGCGTCGTGCAGTGCGCGAAGATGTGAACGAATAGCTTGCCCCCTGGTTTCAGCGCGTTGCTCACTTTGCGGAGCAGGAGTTGGTAGTTCTTCATGTGCTCGAAAAGCTCAATGGAAATGACGCGATCGAATGCTGACGGCTCGAACTCGTAGTCAACAACATCGCCCGTGATCACAGTCAGATTCTTGAAGCCCTTCATGCCAGCTACGCCGTCAATGTACTCCTTCTGCGTCCTCGAGTTGGAGAAGGCAGTGATTTTGGAGTTGGGAAAGACTTCGGCCATGTACAGCGATGCTGAGCCCCAGCCGCATCTACGTCATTGTTAAAATCCCGTCTCTTTGGACACTTGAATAACCGTTGGCGCGGCTTCTTGATGCACGTGACTCTGCGCCGTAAAAGCAAAAACATGGAGGAACAAGACTCACCCCAGATCCAGGATGCTCATCCCGTCCTTCAACTCGGCCCTCTCAACGTACAGCCTCATCATGGCAATCTCAGCCTGTGCCAGCGTCTCGCCGCCTTTCTCGTACAAACAAGAAGAGTACTTCATGCGTGGACCCAGCATGCCCTTTAGAACGCTCGTTCCTACCTCGTAATGCTGCTCGTTGGCAGTAGCCGTTTCAATGGCAATTGGACGCTCGCGGAGAAGCTTGACGTAGTTCATCTTGGATTCATAGCCCGCCTCCAGCGACGTGGTAGCTATGGATTGCAGGCGGTCGGCCAGCTGGCGCCTAATCCCCACGCGAATCACGGCGTGCGGGAGGTAGCCATTGTCGAGGAGTGGATTGATGATGGCATCCGAATTGACGAGATCTAGAGGTTGTTAGTTGGGTACTTGGGCGGCTGGCCACGGAATCAGAAGCTGTACTTGAGATGTAGTTCATGGTGGGCAACTGGGTGACTGTTGAAGCCCTGCAAGTGTCGCAAGTTTTGTCGACAGGAAAACAAAGCCGTTGGTTTAAGACACGTGAAGCTATCGCGACATTGGCGTTGTTGTTGAGCTCCGAATGCGTTTCGTAGTGCGCCCAATATAGCCTAGTGGGACACTTGATGACGTCAACGATTAGATGCAATAGTCCGTCTTGACAGAAACGCCCCGAGAATGGCCGTACAGAGAAAGACGGGTGGCATTGATGTGTTGAAAGAGATACAGCATGTCTGTATCTCCCGGTCGGCGGTCGGCCAATCAAAAAGTCGGCGGTTCCAGAAGGCAGGAATAGCGGCATGAGTGGCCAATGACCGGGTTGATGCAAGGCCAAGTGCATGGCATTAGGACCAGGGGGGAAAGCGGAAGTGTGGCCGTTGCAAGTATGTAGTGTTGGATGCATGTAATGTCATGATCGTCCAAATCGGCATCCCCGCCTTGTCTGGCGGGACTCTTGCGTGCATTCGGGCTACTCGGAGTTGACGATGGACAAAGTTCCAATGTATCGGGACAAGGAATCGGCTCACAACAGCGACCAGGGGCTGGTAGCTTACCGCTTTTCCTATACGACGATGGATGGTGCATATGTACTGTATATGTTCCGAGGGTGGGCTAGCACAGGATGCGGAGTGATATCGACAGGTAAGGGCCTTTGAATCGTTGAGACTGCCCACGTTAAAGATGGTTTGTATGACTTGAAAGATGCGTGGATACACTGGCTGGCTGTTGGTCGTTGTTGGGCCTGGTCCTCATCCATTGTCACGGTGCTTGGCGTAAAGGGTCTCTCATTAGACAGTTTTGGCGTGCATATGTGACTACAGATAGCAAGCCTGTCGCTGAAAGCTGGGGAAGAATACATGATTCCGGGGCCACGCTGATTGGAGACAACTAGACGATGGCCGGCATCGTCTAAGTAGGCGTATAGTGGCAAGAAACGCCCTAGCCGGCATGGCGGTCGGTATCAAAGGAAGAGTGCATTAGGAGCAGCCACCACCTTGGTGTACCTTTCTTCCCAAGCCATCGGAACGACGCCTTGTGCACAACCGAGACTTGGCGAACCTCATCTCCACCCACCCACACGACCTCTTCTGCTCCGCCAACGACGTGCCGCAGCCAACGGATCCCTCATACGCTTCACACTTGCAACCACGCCGGCCACAGTGCACACGCCCTGGTCAACCACACTCCAAAATGCGAAACACGGCCAACGGTTGTGGTGGCCAGACCTGTCGTGGTTGCAAGTGCGATACCAAAGAGGCCGCATACATACATGCGTGGCCCTAAACACAGCGAACGACGCGGCTACCTCGATGGACGCTGCGTAACCAGGCTTGCACCAGATGGATGGTTTCCGAATCCCGTCAAGGCTCCAGCAGACAATCAGCAGCTCGAATGCCTAGCTGGAAGTTGCACATGCCCCCGTGGCACGTGACGCGATATCAACTACTAATGTACAGTAGACGACCACGACTGCCGAGGGCGTGCATGTAGACGCACACGCACACGCACAATGCACCGAGCCGTCCCGACCACTTTTCTTTTGCGTTTAACCGGTTAGTAATTCTTAGCTGCAGCGTGGCGGCTGAGACCCCGGCAACGTCTGACGCCGATTACGGGCGCGAACTTTTGACTCAGGCCCGCTCCCCACTAAATCGCTCGAGAATTCGCTCATACTTCACAACCCCATATTTCTTCCCACGCTCCACGTCATTCGCACTCCACCACCGTCGTACACTCCTACGCCCGTGTCCGTCTACAACCCAGAAAGAAGCCCTGCGCAAACAATTGATCCGAGTGGAACCTGCGAAAGCTCTTACTCCAACATGTCGGCCTACACAAATGGACACACACACCAGTCGGAGCGGATAGCTCACACCGAAGAGAAGCACCTCCCAGGAGGATGGGTGGTCCTCAAGTTCGGCGGTACAAGCGTCGGCAAGTTTCCGGGGAATATAGCCGACATCGTCAAGTATGGCTCTCGTTTGACAGCCTAGGACCAGTCCCAAGTGCTAACCCTTCATAGAGCTGGCGTTGAGAAAAACCGTGCCGCTATAGTCTGCTCCGCGCGCAGCAACAACACAAAGCTCGAGGGAACTACCAACCGCCTACTTCGTGCCGCTCGAGCTGCCGAGAGACCCAACCACCGCGGCTATGACGAAATCGTCGAAGCCATCCGTGCCGACCACATCCAGGCGGGCCAGGATATCTTGAAGAACCCGGAAATTCTGGCTTCTTACACAGAAGAGGTCAATGCCGAGTGCGAGAGCCTGACCAAGATCTTGGAGGCCGCTCAGCACTTGGAGGAAGTCACCAGCCGTGTCGAGGACAAGATCATCAGCAAAGGCGAGAAACTAAGCTGTCGCTACATGGCCGCACTGCTCAACGACCGCGGCACACCCGCCCAATTTGTCGATCTTAGCGACATCATCAAGCCCAACGTGCCTATCAAGGGAGGACTCCAGGAAAAGTTTTACAAGGACCTGGCTGCAGACCTCGCCAAGGAAGTGGAAGCTTGTGGTGACAAGGTCCCGGTTATTACGGGCTTCTTTGGCAATGTTCCGGGTGGCCTCTTGACCTCTATTGGACGTGGCTACACGGATCTATGTGCTGCCTTGGTTGCCGTTGGTATTCAGGCGAATGAGCTCCAGGTCTGGAAAGAGGTGGATGGTATCTTCACTGCAGACCCGCGCAAAGTGCCCACGGCTGCACTGCTCGCGACCGTCACTCCTGCAGAAGCTGCCGAGTTGACATTCTACGGGTCCGAGGTCATTCATCCCTTCACCATGGAGCAGGTCATTCGCGCCCGCATTCCCATTCGCATTAAGAACGTCATGAATCCGCGCAACTCCGGAACAGTCATCTTCCCCGACAACATGAAAGATCTCGATAGCCGTGCACCTTTGCGCGATACAGCACTCTTCCGCACTCGCTCCTCGAGCCTCCTTACTCGGCTTGAGGGCCCTAAGCGACCCACGGCGGTGACGATCAAGCACAACATTGTCGTGCTCAACGTGCATAGCAACAAGCGCACACGTGCCCATGGTTTCTTGATGAAAATCTTCAACGTGCTCGACAACTGGCACCTGTCCGTTGATCTCATCTCTTCATCCGAGGTCCACGTTTCCATGGCCTTGCACTCTGAGTCAGCCCTTCTTAGCGGCGGAGGCGAATATGAATACAAGATCCAGTCCAAGGACCTTCAGGGCGCGGTCAATGATCTCAGCGCCCTTGGCGCCATCGACATCGTGCCTGACATGGCTATTGTGAGTTTGGTGGGAAAGCAGCTCAAGAACATGCTTGGTATCTCTGGTAGATTCTTCAGCGTCTTGGGCGAAAACAACATCAACATCGAAATGATCTCGCAAGGTATGTCACAGTGTATTTGCCTATTGTAACCAATTCGCTAATTCACCACAGGCGCCAGTGAGATTAACATATCTTGCGTCATTGACGAGCGCGAAGCTGATCGCGCTCTCAATGTTGTACATACCAACCTTTTCACTTTCTTAGACTAGACATCCCATCTGCATTAGTGGCGTTGGATACCACTTGGGCAAAAGTTCTCACATAAATCTTATGTCCTTTCACTTGTCTCACGTTCACATCGGTTTCACCTCAGTTTGCGCGTTTGCAAGTTGTGAAAATGCTCACGCGTAATAGCCTAACGCGTTGATGACCTAGTCACGATTGCGACTTCACCCTCACGCCACGTGGACTACCAATTTCTTAGATTTTATATCCGCTCCCAGAGCTGGCAGCTGCATTGGCAGTAAATTCCCCAAGCCGCCTTCCCGTAACTACACCCGCGCACTAAAATGACTGATCCAACCGATAAGAGCAGTGAAGACTGCGACCAACCGCATGCTGAACAGTGTGACGCAGACCCAATGGACGAAAAAGAAGAGAAAGAAATCTCCCCAGCTACAGGTGAAGAGATGAAAAAGCACGAGAAATGGGGACGCAAGGGTCTCACCAATGAGCAACAGGTCACATACTGGAAACAGGTGATATACTGGAATAAAGAACGATTTACAGAAGCCAAATGGAGAGAGGCTGTCCGTCGGATAGCGCGAGCTGCGAAAGAAAACAATGTTATTGTGTTTGGCTGGCATCCGCCGCCGCCTACACACTCGATCAACACATTGGGAGGACACCCGCTATTCCCATATGGCTCTTCCTCGCTCACATCGCTCACGAGCGCACACCCGCTACGACCAGCACATCTGCCGCGCATCGCTACATCATCAACAATCTCACGACCGCGCTGGGATGTCGTACAATCCGGCCCCGTCACCCCATTGTCCGCCACATTAGGCCCAACCAAGAATGCCTTTGCTGAAGGAGGATTCTGGGCATCGCTCTCGCCAAAGACACCCGCAACTGCGATTCCTGCAGCATCGACGCCCATCGTTGCCGTACCAGCCGAACCCTGGGCGCCAGACACACCCAGAGACGCCGAAGCCAAAATTGCATACGACGAAGTCAAGAAGGACATAAGAAATATGACTCTTCAGCTCTGCGCCAACCGGCTGGCACTCGATCGGCTGTCTCATAGCGAATACGATGTCATCCACCCGTCCATGGTGAAGCCGAAAGATGAGTTGTTGGCTGCAGAGCTGACTCTGGAATCCCGCCAGCTCGACCTCTCGAAGCATCTAGACCCAGACCTCCCCGCAAAGGTTGACCGATTTGCTGATGATGAAGCAACATGCGTCCGGTACTACAGCATTAAAACCGCAGAGGAACTGGAGGACATTGACACTTGGCTGCAATTCAACGAGAGCACAGGCGAGTTGACCAACGTCCTTGAAGCACAGCGCGATCTCTTCCGCATGAACCGTGATCGCCGCAAGACTAAAGACATCGGACTTAGCGAGCAAGCAGTGCAGCTAGCGTGGGCGGCAAAGATAGTCAGTGATACAGAGTACATTACTGCCAGCCGGGCAGAAGCCGAGAGTGTGGATAGCGATAGTGACGACGAAGGTTATGATTACAGTAACTTTGTGCGTAGTCTGCGCAGCAAGGCAAGTAGTATTCTCGGCGAAGATGTGGAACGGGAAGAGTACAGGGAGTCTGGCTCTGCGCGCTCGAGCGGTAGTACGACGGCGGGCATGTCCACTGACAACGACAACACCACGGCACAACCTCTGTCCTTCCAAGACTCGCCCATGTTACCAAGCTACCTGGCAACTCGCACGCTGCCCCTACGATCCCTCGACTCCAACACGCCCTCTTCCTCGTCGTCGACCTTCTTCCTCACACCCCCAGCTCCACCGCCCAAAAACAAAATCTCGTCTTCCCACCGCAAAAACCTCAGCATCATCACACACGCACACAGTTCGGCCGTCTCATCCACAGCCTCGGTAGCCAGCTCTGAGCCTCTCAGCCCCGAAGAGCGAGGCATGCGACACCAGGGCCCCAGCATGGACGATCTGAATACCTGGGCGGACGAGTTGAGGAAAATGGAGAGGAAGAGGACCGAGATGAGGCTGGTTGGTGGTAGTGCCTATTTTGCGCAGCATTCGAGAGCAAGTAGCAGCGCTGGTAGTGTCAACTCTGCGGTTGAAAAGGGAAAGGACAAGGAAAAGCAAATGGGAAAAGCAAATGGAGAGAGTGTAGATGGGACGTTGCATCCTGCCTTGCGCAATGTGGATACCATGGCCCGGAATACGACTTCCCGCAATGACGTCGACATGGTTGTTCTGAGGAGGGGGAGGAGAAGGACGAGTGCCGGAACGACGGCGTTGTGGCGATGTGAAGGCGCTGTTAGGCTTGAGCGGGATGGCGATGGCGCATTTGCGTGCTCTGATGAGGCGGGTGGAGCGGCCGAACATGTCGCAGTCGGAGATGCACAGGTCGAATTTGAGGGGGATACAGGAGAAGAAAAAGAAGAAGAAGGTGAGATCGAACAAGATGAGGACGAGGATGAAGGCCAGGTTACGCCTACACTTCCTCCGCGCTCCCTCCTTCGTCCTCGCCCTTCGTTTAGACTTTCGCCCCCGCTCCCGCCGCCTGGCGTATAGGCGATGCGGATCTCGCTACTTGGGCTTCAGCGCGTGGAGGTGTTTGGATGAGGAGAAGGCGGAGTCGGCGAAGAGGAATCGCAGAGGGAGGAGTAACGGTATTGAATGGAGACAAAGGAAACAAGGGAGATGATGATATGCTTTGGGCTTCGAGATGGGTGGCATTGCTTTGTATGGATGGATGCGCGAGTCTATTGGCCTTGTGGGATTGAATCATGGCAGGATGAGGCTGATGATGCACTCATGTCTCTAGCGAGAGGATGGATAATTCGACTGATTGCAAATGCACACATACTTGTAGGAATAGGAAAGATTACTTCTCTCCATGTGCACGCAACAAGCGTTGATTGTCATGTAAAACGGATAGTAATTTCTATTCAGTGTATAGAATGAAGCAATCTTGACTAAACGCAAACCCATTCACAGCAGAACCACCAGATTCCAACACGATGCGTCCAATAAGTTTGACGCGAGGATAAGATAAAAAGAGGGTATATTGACCCAAACGCCCCGTTTGCAACCCTAAAGACTAACAGACGACGCACCGATGGCACGGTGCATCATATGTCTCCCTAAACGCCCCGTGGGGCCATGTCAGTATGCCATGTACAAAATACATAGTTTGGAAAGGGATCGAGTGCACATCTACATGACAACGCACTTGTCCTTTTGCTCGGCCCCATTCGGCCCCGCTGCCCCGTTGGTGTCTCCACTTGGTCTTCCACCAGGCCGGCCGGGGGCATTGTTCGGCTGGCCCATTGGGCGCCCAGGTCGGCCCATCATGGAGCCTGGGGGAGGTGGAAGACCACCAGTGGTACTCTGGTATGGATGCATTGGCGCCTGGGGGCTTGCAGGATGGCCTGCCGGAGGATTGTATCGTGGTGCTGTCGATGCTTCCTCATATGTTGGCGGGGGCGCAGGCTCGGCATTCGGGCGGTGACCGGTGATGTTGTTGCGGCGTGGGGGGATGACTGGAGGTTGGACGGTCTGAGACGAACGGCGGTCGTCAGGTTGTGGCGCCTGACTGTTTCTGGCGCGCTGCTCATCTTCACGTCTTTGCCTGTCCTCTTCTTCCTCTTGCAGCTGTAGCGCTAGCGCAAGATCATGATCCTCTTGCTCAGCTCTGCTGAGGCCACTGGGTGAAGTGGTCTCATCTTGTGCACCAGCGCCAGCTCCACCTGATGGCTGTTGGTTGCCTCGACGCCCTTGTACTGTGGTCCATCCTTGGTTATCGTCAACGTCAACCAAGCTGTCGGACTGTCGATCCTGCAGTCCTGTTGATGAATTGCTGTTGTCGACGGAGCGGAAGTCGCCTGAGAAAAGTTGACTTCCCTGCCCATTGACATCGGTGAGTGACTCCCACACAATCTCATCATGAGAAGAGTATCCTTGATCAGTGACAAGAGTCACAAGCTGGCCGTTGCGAGGGTTCTTGCAGAGCGTAGAGAAGTGGTCATTTCTGAAGAGAATAGCGACTTGGCCAGGCTGAATGTTTTCTCTGATAACCGTTAAACCGTGGTCCGTTAGTTGTGTGGGCCACCTCATCAGGAACTCCTTAATGGCATGTATGTCGGTAAACAGTTGTTGTTCCTCTTCATTCAACGAATCACCTGCATTCAGCTTTGCATTGAGCTCCTCTTCCTGGAACTGGACAAGCTGCGATGCTTCATATGAAGGAGCCACACGGTTGAAGGCGACAAAGGCATCTGTACCAGCTTCTGGCAACCATCCGTGCATCAAAGGAATGTTGAAGGTCCGATAAAACTTCATATCCCGGGTGTTTTCAAAAGCTCCAGCTCGGTTGGTAAGTGTACTATGGCTGGCGGCAGATTCTGTGTCTGGGACAAACATGGGGTTGACGTTGAGGCCAGTGTGTAAAGCAAGGAGGAACTTGTAGAGCTCGCTGACATCCGGCAATTCCTGAGCGGCATCACCTCGTCTTCCTGACATGAGCTCTTCGAAGACAGCATCTAGCAACAGTCCCAGGCTGACTGTTTCGCGCGTGCGTAGTGTTTCGACCAAGGCAGTCTCAAGTTTTGCGGGGGTAGAGAGAACAAGCGCATTCACCAGAGCGAGCAATGGACATGGTCCATTCAGGTTCTGGGTGAGAATAGGCGAGACACGCATTCCCTGAGTGCTGGGGTCGAGCCAGCGAACGTGCTTTATCTGATAGTGCTCTTTTCTCTGTCGGTTCATTGCACTGTCGGGCGACTCCAGGGCTGGTGCAACGGAAGAGCCAACACCGGTGTCAATGGGTCTTGGAGGCATAGCAGGGGCAATCTCTTCATGTGATCTTCTCGGTGGTAACGCTGGCGCCGGCTCTTCCAAGGTTGGGGGTGTCTGCGCAGGAGTGTATTGAGGTGCCGGCGGCGTTAGCCGGACAGGGTGGATATTCTCTGAAACATTTGAGGGGGGTGTTGCGTTGGAGGCTGCGTCGCTAGCACTGGCATTGGCATTGGCATTGGCTTCGGGGGCAGACCAGGGCGTGTGATGGCTGCGTCCTTGTTCGGACCCAGACTCCCAAGGGTTTACGTCGATCAGGGTATTGGCATGGTCGGATTGCGGAGTGGGCGCCTTGACAGCAATGGCGGGCGGCTCGTAGGTGGGGGCGGGCGGCTGGGCGGGCGGCGCATGGTCGTCGAGGATGAGGCTGCGCATCTCGTGGGAAGGTGTAGTTGGCGTGCGGAAGGCTGGCAGCTCGATTGGAGCAGGAGCATCGTACTTTTGCGCGGTGCTTGGCGCATCGCCCCAGATGGATGCGCTGCTCTCGCCGCCCATGTGGCTTTGGCCGGTGGTCTGCATCTTCAAGTACGGGTTGTTAGTCTGTAGCGGCATGGATGCGTTGGACTGCTCCGAGACGGTGCTGGCCGCGCCATACGAGGCAGGGGTGGCGCCGGTATGCATGGGCGATATGTTCTCCATGGACCTCTTGATGGGCACACCGGGCGGCGGGCCTGGTCGCAAGGCTTCCGGGAGGCCGTCGATGATGTGCGATGTCTTGGGCACAGGCGGTCTCTTGCCCCCCGCAGGCTTCAAGGCAGCAGGGACCTGGTGCGGGTCGACGTCGTCGAAGTCGTCGTCGGTCTGGTTCCACTCGTCGTCGCTGAGGTCTGAATCGTCGTCATGTCCAGGCTTGGGCGGCGCCGTGGCTTCTGGCGTCTTGATGTTGAAGGCGGCCGACTTGGAGCCATGTGGCGGGTGCACGGCGCTGTCCGACGTCGAGGGGAGCACGGGGATGTAGTCCTCGGCCGGCGATGTTGGATATGGCGGGTTTGCTTTGGAGAGGGGCGCTGGCACGAGGCCGTCGTTCTCGCCCGACTTGCGAAGCACCATGGCTGGCCTGGTGGCGCGTCGAGGAGGGGGGTGGTGGTGGTGGGATAGCAGGGGGGCGAGCAGCTCTCAGAAAGTGTTGCGCGTCGCGGAGAGCGGGCTGCGGATGCGCGACGGGTCAGAAGGGGGAGGGAAGGATAGATGGGGGATGCGAGGCTCGGCGGCTGCAGAGGCCAGCAGTCAATATAGGCGGAGCAAACCGAGCCGAGTTACGCAGGCGGCCTGAGGGTTGGACAGTCGGCCGTCTTGGTTTCGTCGTCGTCGGCGCTGCAGGCGGAGGCGGAGGCGGAGGCGATGACGTGAAGCTGTGGCTGAGGCGGGCGCGTGTGGCTGGGCAGCGCTGGCGATGCCTGCAGCCACTCCACAACTTCTTCGCTGCACCCATCCATCATATTCTTATCCCACCACCTCGAGTGGCACGCAACCCCCGCCACCGGCGCATATGCAGTAGCCCCGTCGCCCTCGACGGATGAGCCCGCTCCGCTGCACCATGCATTCCTACATTCGCCCCAACACGCACGTCGCCCTGCGGCTGCCGTCAGGCCTCTTCAAGATAGTCGAAATCACCCCGAATACGTACGTCGCATAGCTGTGCAGTGAGCCCTCCGACGGCAAGGACACGTGGCGCCCTGGCTAAACTCGCGCAGCAACATCAACCTGGGCAAATTCGGCACCTTCAACTCCAACCTGCTGCTCGGGCGCCCCTACTACCTCACCTACGAGCTGCTCGACAAGGACGACGGCAAGTCCAAGACCGAACTGCGCGTGGTGCCCGCCCCTGAACTCCATGCCGAAGCCCTAGGCAGCGACCATGCCACCACGGCCGACGCCGGTGACGACAGCGCGGACGTGAATGGCGGCTTCGACATTGTGGGCGAAGATGGCCAGGTCATTATGCGCAACAACCGCCTGACCATTGACGATGCTTCGCGCCAGGCCCTGTCCATGGCCGAGATTGAGGAGCTGAAGAAGGCGGGCGCGGGCTCTGGCAAGGAAATCATTGCCAAGATCATGGCCTCGCACAATGCCATTGACGAGAAGACGAGCTTCTCCCTGGCCAAGTACACGCTGCGAAAGTCGAAGAAGTACCTGAAGCGCTTCACCGCCTTGCCAATGGATGTTGGATTGCTGACCGAGTATGTCTTGGAGAAAGAGGCGTACAAGATTATGGAGCTGAGAGAAGACCTGCTTGGTTTAATCAACAGCTGGGCCAACGTCCACTCGGGAGAAACAAACCAAATTATCACCGGAGAAGACGGCGTCAGTCAGATAGGAGGCTGCCGCTGGCTCGTGGTGGACGATACTGGGGGGTTGGTCACAGCCGCGCTCGCAGAGAAAATGGGCATTTTGTATCCCGACGACGAGAACGACGAGTCCGACTCTGAAGAGGACGCTGCTGCAGCGGACGTACCAGAACCGAAAGATGCAGACACTGCCATGGCCGACGCCGATACTGAGACCATCACCACATCTGATCCAACAAACGCTACCGACCCCTCATCATTAGCCGGAGCCCCTTCAGATCCCCCGCCAAAGCCAAGGAAACCACCGCGGCCGCACATCCCCCAAATGTCGGCGCGGACCAACACCCTTACAATCCTGCATCCCAACAACCAGCCCAATCTTTCCTACCTCAAGTACTTTGGCTACGACTATGGCGCGCCAGCTGTTTCGCATCCCCTCTACAAGCATCTTAAATCACTATCCTGGCTCTCACTACTCCATCCCGAGGACGATCCGTCTTACGACGAGCCAGAAGTCATTCCTGACGATGTACTAGCAACGATGAAGTCAACAAAGCGAGGCACATACTACAAGAAGCGAAGACGGTGGGAACGTGTGAAGAATGTCGTTGACGAGACGCGCCAGGGAGGTTTCGATGGCTTGGTAGTTGCCACAGCCATGGATGCAAAGACGGTTCTAAAGGAACTGGTACCTCTGGTGCGTGGCGGCGGCAGGGTAGTTGTCTATAATCCCAACGTCGAGCCACTAGTTGAGTTGTGTGACTACTACTCCAAGGAACGCCGAACAGCGTACATTGCACGAGAATTTGGGCCCACACCGCAGACCAACGGCCACAAAGCCCGGGCGGAAGATGATGTTGAAACAAATGGCAGCACGACAGAGGGCGGCAATGAGGAGGATGATTTCCCACTCAACCCTACATTGCTTCTTGCGCCATCTTTGCAGACGGCCCGTGCAAGGCAATGGCAAGTTCTCCCTGGGCGCACACACCCTATGATGACAAGCAAAGGCGGTGCTGAGGGTTATATCTTTACAGCCACGCGCGTGTTGCCAATTGAAGGCAGGGTGGAGGCGCGTGGACACCATGGCAAGAAGAAGAGGAAGATTGGCGAGAATGAGCAAGCCGCTGTGTCGGCCTAGTCTCTTGTATTTCAGTGCAATATCATCGCCATGTGTTTCAAGGTGTACAGTGGAACGTTGAGAGTTACTCAAAAGCTATTCTCAATGATTATAACGATTATAACGATATGCAGCCACTGCTTCCAATATCCCCTGTTTTGCATTTGGATTAGGGTATGTCAAATAGACAATGTGCGCTGCTCAGTTCAGGGTTGATTCTGTATTACTCGAAGGGGCCATGTTAGTCGACATATCGATCACTGTCAACACTTCTACCAGTATTTCCAGAGAGATGCGGTCATACTAATGTCGACATCCAATCAGTTCGTCGCATATACCCCAATTGGGCTACATAGTGAATGCTCTGCAAAGTAGAAAGTTGCACAAGGTCAAGTACCCCTTCACTCCGCAGACGCCCCGATAGCCTTCACACTGGCCACGCGCTAGCCCATTGTTAACTAACACCACGCGCACATAAACAATGTGCTCCTCTTGTCCAGGCATTTATCACCTCACCCTGCAGAGCTGCAATTCAACTCCACATCATCTGCACCTGAATCTTACTCCAACTTGCATTACACTCTCAACGAACCTCCTTACCCTCTTTCCAATTGCATTCGCTACTTCGACCCGGTCGGGCGCCAGCCACGATGCTGCAGTTCATTGCAGCGCTGAAGGAGGCGATATCCAGTAGTATTCAAAGCGCTAGTAGCGGTACACCTGTTCGTGAAGAGAACATGAGAGATCCGAAGAGTATTGTTCATCATCACCGACAGTGCGAAGAGGAGAATGTCGAGCGCAATGGAGACGATGTCGCAAAGCAGCAAGAGACTACTCCCATTGATGATCACTGCCCAAGCACAATCCATGGAATGGTAAGTTTGCAACAATGAATCCCACCAGACACAAGTACTAACCAAGATGTGATAGATTGCTGCGCGTATCAACACGGCCACCACCAAGACATGGGAAACACAGCGACGCTCAATCAAGCACACCCAAGCCACATCCGACACGTCGGATCCCTCCCCCAACAACCAAAGCGAGCGCGAATTAAGCTCCGATACCGACAGGACGTCCTACTATGGAAGCGATGACGAAAGCCGGATGCGACACTTGAGCGAAGTGCTCAACGAGAAGGAAGAACTGTGCAAACTGCTCGAGTTCAAGGCCACCTGTTTCGAGCAGCAGTTGGCCACAAAGAATAATGACTACCATGCGCTTCAGAATAAGTACACGGAGCAGCGAAAACAACGCATCAATGATAAGGCCATGGTAGATCAGTGGTGTGCAGAAGCCATGGAGATGAAAGATCTTACTAAGAAGCAAGTTGAAGACCATCAAGCTGCTATTGAAGCAAGAGATCAGGAGCGAGTGAAGCTCATTGCTGACCACAAGGCCGAAATCGAGGCAGTTATCAACAAAGCTGCCAAAGAGCAAGACGAGATCAAGGCCGCCCATGTCCAAGAATTGCGTGCGCTTACAAAAGCCAGCAAGACGAACCGGTTCGCATGGGAAAAGGAGAAGAAGGCCCTGGAGGCCAAGTTCAGTCAGATGGATGGCGACGCCCAAGATACTCGACGTGCCAACGAGGACGAGATCCTGCGCTTGACCGAATGCAAGCGCCGCCTCGAGGCCGAGAACGCGCTGCTCATGAACAATTTGAACCAAACCTCGAGCGAGACAACTATTGAACTGGCTCAACAGTTCTTTCTGGAGCTCGAGGATACACGAAGCGAGTTGGACAAGACGCGCAACGACTTGCAGATTTCCAACATCAAGATTGAGAATATCCTCGAGGCAATGCAGCAGCAGCAGGACCATTATGAAGCCCATGGGGATGAAGAGAGCGAGGCACGAGCACAAGTGTGCGACCTGCAGAGACAGGTTGTCAGTCTCGAAGAGAAGCTGGCTATCTGCAACGACTTGCTTCGCAATGGAGGCAACGAGCCAGCCGCCACCGACGCAGATGGCAATTCCAAAGTTGTCCTGCGAAACCAAGAACTCTACGACGAAGCCAAAGCCGTCCGTAAAGAGAATACGGAACTTCTCGCCAAATGCAACAAAGTCGACGATGAGAACCTTGCACTCTCCCTGAAAATCGACACTGTCGACGAAGAACTGCACGCCCTCCGCCGCAAGCATACCATCATCCAGGACAACCAGCGCAAGCTGCGTAGAGAACGCAGTTTCCTTTCCAACGCGGTAAGATCTCACTCCGGCCTCACGGCAGAAGACAAAGCAGCACTCGACGAACACCTCTGCCACATGACCGAGGAAAATGAGGAACTCCGTGTCGCCAACGAGAATCTCAGTGCAGAAAACAAGGAGCTCGTCCAAGCCATGCAAACCATTGAAGAGAAATGCAAGATTGAAGTGGACAGTCACTGCAAGGCGGCTTCGTACTGGTACGATCGCTACTTTGACGAAGCCGTCTGCAAAGTCGAACGCCTCACTGAGGAAATCTCCCTCTTGAACCGCGAGCTCGGCCGCACCACCGAAGAGGCTCCCCCGCTGCAAGAGCGCCTATCGCGCAATGTCGTCGTCTCGAACCGCAATGCGCTGCGCCACGCGTGCGACGTCACGCTTCGCGGTGTCAACACGGCGCTGATCCCCGCCGAGTACTACGAACCGGGCTTTAGACCGGGCTGGCTCCCAGCGACGCATGATGCGCTGAGAGTACTGAGGCCACTGGGCTGGGCCCCGGTCGCGGAGCTTGGGAAGGTGTGGCTTGCGCCCATATATAAGCCCTTCACGGAGGAGGACGCGGAGGCCAGGTTGGAGGCGGAGGCGCAGGTGGAGAGGAGGGCGCATCGCATTGCCATGGGGTTCCCGGAGTTTCCTGGTGAGTTGCCTCATCGTTCCCATGAGACTTGTACTAACGGTGGTGCAGAAGATGAGGAGACTGCCGATGGTAATCAACCCATTCGCACGAGGAACCGCGCACCGACCGTTGTCTACGAAGAGCCTATTGCACCTGCGTATAACCCTGCCTGGCAGATGAAGCGATCCGATCTCACGAGGGAGGCATACGAGGACATGGATGCGACGCTCAAGTTGGATGTCCTCAAGATGATTGGTGTGGAGGTGGAATGAGCGGGGCTCCTGTCTAACAGCTTGATGGGCATGATTCTGACGAAGAGGTGATGCTATGGGAGGACCACAAAGATGGCTTGAGGTACAGTACCTTGTAATATGGAGCATAAGACATGAGTCGGTGGCGGAAAGTCCCGCCTACCTGGATGGTATATGGAGGGATAACGAGGACATGATGGGCAAAGTCTGAGTGATGGACGACATGGATAAAAATTTGGGCTAGGATATTTGTGTATGTTCATCTTCCAGCTGCGTATCGGCAGTGTGCGATCATGACATGGACATAGCAACAAAACAATTTTTTGATAAACAAGAAATCCAGGAAAAAATGCAATGAACAGTGCACAATTGGTGAAGATGCAGATATTCCCGAGACTCATTCCCAACAATAAAACGATGTCGCATATCGTGTCTCAAAACAGATGCACGATTCGCATCCACAGCAGCTCACACTTGCTTTCTTGACTGACGTACTCACTCATGTAGACAGAAATTTGTGTTCCAAAGTTGGCGCTTTGATATGATATCTCTAGTCGCATCGTCTGACTTCATTACCATTTTTTTTTCATTAGCAGCCCAGTATGAAAAGGCGGTACGCTCTTAATGGTATGCTCTTAATGGCGTGCTCTTAGTACGGTAACCAAACGAGTTTCTGAGCCAAGACATGGACAGTAGATCCATCAGTCTGTATCTAAGTAGCTATTGCGCACTTCACATGCAAATTGTTGGCTCATATGTGTCACACCGACTCTTTCCTCGACTCATTATATTTCAAGTGCCCGCATGCTTGACACTGTTTCCTTTGTCCGCATTGTCAAGTACTGAAGTTTCTTGTACCTTGCTTTGCCAACACCACCAGACTTGGATCAGCTACGCAATCATGGTGCGGACTCATTCTCAGCATATATACTACTAATCTTGACTTTACTTTGGAATTGCAGACTCGACCGGGAGGCGTCCGACCGCGAAACTTCTAAGTAGACGATGATGTCATGGTACGATTTCCCTCATGAAAGCGCCGCTGAAACTGAACATACACAATGAACGGGGATACCTCATTAACAGTTCCTTTCTGATCCATCCGTTCCTTCTAGACTATATCTTGCGTCTGCCAATTGAGATTGCCAACGCAGCTTCATTCTGCCCGCACGAGCAATCATTCACATCTACAACATGCATCCACTGGCGGAAGGCATGGCAGCGCAAGCTTCATTTGAACCTCACGATAAGGTAAGGCATCATTACTTTAACTAAGTTGATCAAGACTTTGCTCTGACTTGATCTGCAGAGATGCCTACTGTCGCAGGCGGCCGTGCCCGCAGACGATCGCCTTCACTTCACCCACACTCCGATCCCTCCAACCCCTCCGACCAGCCACAAACTACCGGAACACAGATCCTCTCGTGAACGTCTTTTCACTGATTAAAGATTTACTATTGTCGCTGCTATTGTCGCCGTGCCCAACTCGCATCGAGCCAGTCAGATCCATCTACACCACCAGTGAAGGCAACCTGAAACGAACTTCTGTACCCCAGATCGCCGCACTCCACTCTGGAGAGTCCGACCCTGCCGACTGCGCTATGGTCTTGAAGGGGCTGGGCCAATGGCCTGACGCTGCGCCATCATGCACTGCCTAATCGAGAAGATGAGGTGCCCACTCCACCACCTTCATCGCTTCGGAAGAAGCCGAAGTGAGGTGTTAGACTGGCCTGACTGCCACGAGTCTTACCAGCCTCCCCATCGCTAAAGTCTTGCACAGCCTCTATCGCACATAAGAAATTATTTGAATAACGGATCATTTTCTAGCCTTCGCTGCAACTCACTTACTCGATATCTCAATTCCTCACTCCGTTACCGCGCGACTTTCAATCTTGCTCTATTTACACTCATCCATCCATACACCCGAGCAATAGTTTCTGAGAAGTCATTCGAATCCCTCGATAACGACATGGATTTCACATCATTCAACTTCGACGACGACAGCTTCTTTGACTTCAATGGCGCCTCCTCTGACGGGGCTCTGCCTTCAGTCGAGCCAGTCGAGGAGCTGCCCATTAGTTTCCCTGATGGTGTCTCTCTAGCTGATATAGAACGGCCTTGCCATGGTTCAGACGATTTCTTCGATTCAGCATTCGGATCCGATGATACGAATCCGAGCGACCTTCACAGCGATATGTCTGTCTGGCCATGTCATATCCCTACGCAAGAGCTTGCAGGCATACAGGGAGAGAAATCGCCATCTCCGCCAAGCTCACAGATCTCTGAGGGACCCAGAACTGGTCTAGGTACAGCAGTGTCGCCAATTGAGGTGTCTGAGTCAATGGGTCCGATAGAGCAGCTCTGGAGGCCCATCATGGGCTACAGTCCGCCTGCAAAATTACCCCCGCGTCAACCAAAGCCCAGAACTCCGCGCAAGCCAGACTCGTCCAAGGTCAAGTCTACGGCTAGCAAGCCTGGTCCGAAGCCCGGCTCCAAGTCCAGCTCTAAGCCGAGTCCCAAGCCCAAAGTCACAAAGGTCACCAAAAAGAGGACTTCCGCCACGCAGAAGCGCACAGCCGCTGCTCCAGTGCCCCGCGAACGATCGATCCAAGAACTGTACAATGCTGCATGGGACTCTCTCACGCAAGAGGAGAAGGGACGCCTGCTTCTTCCCCTTCTCCAGGGCATTAACCCCGACACGGGAGTCAAGGTCACCGAGGCCAGCACCTTGCTGCCTCCGCCGGACTTTGCAGCCATCGGCGCGAACATGGCGACCACCAACCACGCACTGCCGTCGTCCAGCCCGACTGTAAAATCCACTTCTAGTGATTTCTCATACTCCTCATACAACACCGATGCCGAATACGACGCCATTGGCGCTGATTACTCTCCGCCCACGATGAGCTCTCATCCGTCCTTCACGTCCACTTCCACCTCCACATCCGCATCGATTGACACCGACTTCGCGACTACGACAGCTGCAGCGCTTCAGGCATATAACAGCAGCCATGGTTATATGCGGTCTACAAACGATGTTACATTCGGCAACAGCTTCGATTGTTTCGACGGCTTCAGCCCTGCCACCACAGCCGACGACTTCGGCGTCGAAGTCAATCATCGCCATGTCGACCGTGGTCTCGGCGGCCCTTTTGGCAACGGCATGATTAGCGATCCAATTCACATGCCTGCTCCGCCATCGGTTTACGGATGCACGCGCCAGCAGGAGGCGCTCGAGCGCAGCGCCATGCTGCGCGCCCAGGGTCGTCGTCGCTAGATGTGTTGCGTCAGGGGGCGATACGGCATTGCTTGTTTTTTGTTTTTGGGAGAGCATTTTCATTTCGGTTTCACGTGCAATTGAGGGTTGAAAGGCGTTGCTGGAATGGCGTTTACGGGATACCTATGGCACTTGGGGGGGATACATGTCCGGATGAGTGGGGTGCGTGCTGAGTATTACATCGAGTCAGGAACGAAGGGAGGCGATGTATTCGCCTGCCGATGGAACCGTTTCCATGTTAGCGTCGTTGCGGAGCATCGAAAGCAGCTGTTTCCGCTATCCCAATGATGATAAATTTTGTTATATTTTGCTTCAACAGTGCCCCCCCCCCCTCTCGCTCGCCTTGTGTCTAGACACGCCACCCTTCACAACCGGCTTCTCACTCACTGACTTTACAACTTTGCATCTGCCCTCTGCTTTTCCAGCCTCTCGTACATGGTCTTTGAAAACAATTGCTGCGTCTTGCACACTTTTTCGTCTCCCAAGGGCAGGATCTGGTTTGCGTAGATGCCAGCATATCCCGTCTTGCGGTCAATCCACCACGAGAGATTGGGGTACCCGCCCCAGGCCAGAGTGCCTGCTTTCTTTTCCGGACCATCGTCCATGAAGAGGATGCCACCGAGGCCGTGGTCTAGGGGTTGTCCAACGGCTAAACCACCCAAGTTGTTGCTGAGCTATTAAGAGAGACGTCATGTCAGCACCAATCCAATGTTGATGGAGGGGGAAGCTGGTAATGGGGGATTTACACTCGGATCTTTTAGCACTCCTGCCAGCGCTTTCTTGCTTTCTTCGCCCAGCTGCGGCCTGAAGAGCTCCTCGACAGAAGCCTTGGATAGGATGTTGCCGTCGCCACCGTTGTCGCACTCCAGCACTGCTTTCAGCACTTTGACATACTCGTCTGCAGCCATGAAGACACCCTGACCCCCCAGGCAATCGGTTATCTCTTTGCCCTTTCCGTCCTCCCATAGCTTCGGCCACATGCAAAGCTTCATGTTTCCAGATTCAGCGTCACGCTCGTTCATATCCACCAAGCGTTCCGCCATGTCTGGACGTTCAGAAAGGAAAAACGTCATGTCGCTGATGCCCAGCGGGCCCCACAGGTTCTCTTTCATGTATTCCTGGAGCCGCTGCTTGGTGATGCGTTCGATGAGCAGGCCAGCGTAGTCGATTCCGGGTCCGTACGTCCAGCTGTCGCCGGGTTCGAAAAGCAATGGGCAGTCGAAGCGCTCGAGCAGTTTTCCACTAGCTCCTGGCATGCGATTGTGGTACTTGGACCAGGCCATGGCCTTGGGATCGGTAAACTCGTATGCGAAGCCGCTTGTGTGTGTTAGCAGCGTGCGTAGCGTGATGGGCTTGGTGTGCTTTGCTTCAATGGGTTCTCCGGCGTCGGTCCATTTCTTGATTATGGGGAAGGATTCTAGTTCGGGGATATGCTTGTATACAGGCTCATCCAGCGTGACAAGACCCCGCTCGACGAGCTGCATGGCGCACAGAGAGGTCATGAGCTTGGTGCATGATGCAATCCACATTACACTGTTGAGCTCCATGGGCTTCGCCTTCTCGGGTATTGGCGAGGTGGTTCCAAACGCTTTGGCGTATTTAAATGCTCCTGTTCATCTTCAGCACGGTGGAAATCTAGGCTGGGAGTACAACTCCTGTGTAACTGTACCCTCGCGATCAGTGGCTGTCACGACGCAGCCAGGAATCTCCTTCGCATCACACGCCTTGTTGACAAGAGCCTCGAAGTCCGCCATGATGTTGACAGTATTCGCAGGTTCGGTATAAACCGACAATGAAATGTTGGGGGAGTACTGGTAGTTGGGGATGGGGGTGGGGGTGGGTGGGGGTGTGGAAACAGGTCAAGACAGGTGAACCAAAATCCTGTTGTCCATGTCAGAAACATGATGGCTACTTAAGCTTCCACGTCGGAAAAAGCTGTGCTCCGGCTGTTACAACCAAACCATAATTGTCCCCTGTTCCGATGGCGCACCAGTAGAATTACGTGGGAGCACCTGTTAGTGCGGATAGCGCTCGGTTCATGTTGCGGGGTCAACTACGAGATACCACGGCCTGACAACCGCATTAGTCAAGGATCAAGTACGAATCGTGTCTGGACTAAGGCGGCCGCGATACTAGTACACTACATTTATCACTGTACTCTTCATCATTTGCGTACTGTGCAGCTGTTGTACGAGATTTCAAAACACATTCATAGCGACTCCGACAGCTTTGACATTAAAGCAAGGCGTTGCTGCCTAAAGCTCCATGCCGAGGTTATTGGATCGATGCATGAGAATTTCTGCTCTATTGAAACAGAAGGAATCCCCTCGTACAAGCCCCATATACCGCGCAATGGCAGCCATGTCTAGAATGTTGTTGGGTAAGGGCATACTCTTCCAAAAGCATCCAGCTTACCCCTCTATGGCATGCACATTCCCCGACGTCTTAAATGCCCAGAGTACGATCATCAAGTCGTCTGGAAGTTTGTGTAGCTCAGCATCATTCTTGTAGCTGTTTTCGTTCCGTATGATGTCTGCTATACCAGCAATCTGGGTACTGGCATCTCCCGGGTCTGCTTCAGGGAAGTGATCAAAGTGTGTGGTCCACGGACCAGGATCAAAACGCTGGCAGGCATCAGCCAAGTTGCGATATTCGAGCACAGTAAGATCCGCCTTCATGCTGATGCCTAAATCATGTTATCCATAAGCCATGCAAACCGGTCATTACATATTTGCTTACTGCCAATGTGACACTCCGGTTTGTGGCCGTCATCATTTCCACAATCCGTACACGGCAGCTTACGTATTTCCTCGGCGTAGTAACGCGGGGACGAAATCCTTTCTTGTGGGAATGTTGTTGCCTGAAGAGTATCTACTTTTGGTGCTTGGCACATGTTGCTTGATATAGGCGGTGCTGATTTGCGTATGCATGGGGTATGTGGAGTGCCTACGGAAGTGCCAATCCCGACGAAGGAAGCTGTTGGCTGCCTGTGGACAAATTCTGGCGGACTAATTCCATCATCATCCACATCACTAGAAGATGAACTTGAAGACAAGACTACTGGTGATGAGAAAGAAAGCCCGTCTTCTCTTTGGTCTTGGACATGTTCTGGTGCTGACATTGTGACAGGTGTCGCAGGTGGACATTGTTGCAGGGGTGTCGAGCTGTAATCTTCCATTGCCGCAACTGAATCGCAAGACGCTGACTCAGTTAAATGCTGTTTTAGCGTTGTTTGTGTAGCTTTGGTTTGACAAAATAGTGATATGTGGTTGGCTTCCAATGGCTGCGGCGCTTTACGGCTTTTTTGTTCGATTGGAGCCTTTGCAACTGGATTTTCTCGTAATCCCTGTACTGGCGGTGACATTGGATTTGATTGAGATCGGCTCGGTGTATCCGGGCAATGCGTTGCAGGCAATGGGGCCGAGTGGGAAGCGGGACCGGTGGTGATAGACCATTGCAAATTGTACTTGTCTTCCCAATACTGCTTCAATCGCGCATCTACAGTGACAGGATATAATGGTATCTGGCCTCGCAGGGACATGGGAAGACTCAGCAGGTGGCGTACCTCGTACATAGTCTGCAAATGCTGTGAAGCAGTTCCAATCAAAGCCTTGTTCAAGTTGGGATCACTGGTCCCTCTCACCCATCGCAGGGTAATGTCGTCAAATTTCTCATCGGTACGATCTGCCGCAACAAGCAGAGCTTCGGGCGTAGTGAAGCCACGGGAGAATGCGCGCCGGTCATCATCGACAGACTGAAACTTCCAATAGCCGTTTTCCAGGTGCGACGAGTCTATTTGGCGAACGAAGTGGTGGAAATTTCCATCTTGATCGTAGACAATTCCGCAGTATGCTGTCTGATAGCTTGTGGGGTCTGGCGGGTGAGACTTGTTTGATGGCAGTAATAGCTGAAAGGACATGGCACTGGTTGATTGCCCACGTTTGAAGTTGGGATAAAGTGCCGAGTGAGCTGTGTAAAAGTTTGTCTACCTCTGGAGTAGGAGTGAAGAGAGAAACAGTGGCTCGTGCGTGTAGTGAGCTCGAATGAAGGAAGGAGCGATTGCTGGGTGTAGTGAGAATAGTCCACTCCATACGATCCATGGTCTCTATGAGAATTTGCAATGAGAATACGACACGGTAATTGTGTTGGTGCCTATAACACGTGCAAAGGAGCGTCTTGGGCGATATTGAGCGTCAAATAGATGGGCCATGCACTACATCAGTCTGAGAAGACGCTTGCGTGTGGCTGGTGGTCGGATGAAGACTACGTCATCGCTTTAATCAACTCCGGTGCTTGCCTTCAAACCCGCCATCACCAATTCCCGCTACTCCAAGTGCTCTTGTTCATTACATGAACACTAAAGCGGCAACACAAAATACCGCAAACTCAGATGGTGCGTCTGCATATCTCATATCCAACCTCCAATCTATTATTCTGAAAAAATACAGGCCAGTACAAGCCTCGCCTTGGGCCATCATGCTCAATAGACTGCATCCGCACACAAAGGCCGCTCAAATAGTCCACTTCTTAAACCATTCGAGAATAATAGGTGTTGCTTCCGCGTCTTCACACGTCAGCAAGGTATCCGTATCGCCGTTGGGAAAGGAGCTGGGCCAGTCATGCTTGATGTTGGTGTAGTTGTAGTCCACAACCACGTCGTCCCAGCTGTGCCTCGTCACCGCCTTCTTCCCACTACACAAATGCGTCGTCTTGTTGGCCGCCGGCTCGAAGCCGTCGCGCCGAGCCCAATCGTTTACATAGGTAACAATGTCCGAGGTACTGGCAGTGTCACGCGTATTGTTTCCGCCTTGGTAGCGGATCGTAGAGTCTGGGTAGCCGTGGAACTCCATGAACGGTATTGGCTTTCGGCTGGGGTTGCAGGGCGGCGGCTGCTGGTCTGCATCTAAGTAAAAAGCACCTGACACCGGGGCGAAAGCCGCGATGCGCTTGGTTGCTTTGGCGTCACAAGCGAGAATGCCAGTGAAGCCGCCGCCGTTCGACTTCCCGTTTGCATAGATGCGAGATGTATCAATACAATATGTCGATTCGAGATGGTCGAGCAGTTCCAGGGTGAAGGTCACATCGCTGATGGACTTGGGGGAATCAGGATCGCCCTCGAATTGTTGGGTTCCTTTTTTGTTCTGTGGCGTGTCAGCGCGTACCAATGTCGATCTCTTCCAGGGGTAACATACTGGTACGCCCTCGGGATACACAGCGATGCCTTCAAACCCATAACTCGCATTGGAGAACTGGCTCAAAGCCTCCTGAAACTTGGCATCCTTGCCTCGGCCATGGAAAGACAATATGAGTGGAAGCTCAGTGTTCTGTTCATAAGACGGAGGAATGTGCAGGCGGTAGCCTCGAGGTGTGGCGCCGCTTTCGCTCTTGATAGTCAGGTTTACAGATTCCCCAAGATGAACATTATCGGGAAGGGATTTTCCACAACCGCTACTGCTGGCTGCAGTAACCGCTGCAGTCAGCGCTGAGAGTGTAATTAAGAGAGTCTTCATGATATCCTTGAACCTTGGTGTGTTTTCGAGAGTGTCTCCATGCGCCTATATATATTTGAGTTTTGTGGGTGGGTTCAATCCTGAAGCAGCAAGTTACCTAACGCAGTAAGGCATCGCCTATATTTATATTCAATGATATTCAGGCGTGCTGTGCTCGGGCTCACGCTTAACCTGATTGGCGTATGCAATGCGTTTAACCTTTGCTCGTTCGCGTTACCTTGATACTGACTTCACATTAGCAGCTGGTGGGCTGACTGTGTCGGGCAAGCACTTGTCGATCGACGTCATGTACCATGTCGATCATCTGCCAGCCCGGGTAGACAGCGAAACGAAAAAGGTACGTACGTTAGAAATACCATGCTTACGACAGCAGCATAATACACGTGCTTGTACCTGAATTTCCACGTCGAACATGTGACGAGCCATATAACGAATCTCATCGCACCAGTTGCCTTGTGTCCGCACATTTCTTTCAACAAATATGCAGTGATGACAGAAAAGAAGCTAAGCTTGGGTATCATATCGGAAAGAGCGTCTCTCAGTCAGTCCTCCATCCAACATACACTTCATCTGTCCTGAACCGTTGCGTACATGTCGTATCGCTCAGCTTTGTTGTAACACTCGTTCCGTACTCCAGCAGGCCTGCATGCGCAATCATAATGCCATTATCAATGCAGAACATTTCATCCGTGGCAAACACGTTGCCTCCCCGGTCCCTTGCCATTATGCCCATCATCTGCTGTAGGCGCAGGTTTGAGCCAACACCGCCTACCACGAGCACTTGCTGCGAACCAACATGCGCCATGGCGCGCTCTGTGATTTCCACAAGCATGGCAAAAATTGTTTCTTGAAGAGAGAAACACATATCTGCTTTTGTTACTAGCTCTCCATCTTCTGTCTTTAGTCGTTTCTCGTCCGGTAATGACTCGTCCAGTCCACGTGCGAGGAGATCTGCTGCGGCTAATATTCCAGAGAAACTTGCATCCATGCCCTTGACTCCGTATGGCAGGTCGATTAGATTTTTTCCTTTTTTGGCCAGTTGCTCTACGTTGTAGCCCGGGAAGGGGTCGTTGGGTATCATGAGTGTCCTAGCAAATCGATCTATGCAGTTGCCTATGGCAATGTCTAGGGTCTCGCCAAAGATGCGGTAGCGCTGGGCCGAATATGCGATGACTTGTGTATTACCGCCGGAGACATAGAGAACCACGGGGTTGTCGGCGCGTGTTATTGAGCGGCCCATCTCGATGTCTGCATTGAGTTAGCAATCATTCTCACATTACCCGACAACGTGTACTGACGTCCAACGCAATGGTTCACGCCCACCATGGGCTTGCCCCAGAGTAGGCTTATTGTTCTTGCCGCCAGCGCAACGCTCTGCAATGGCGCACCCATTCCCGGGCCCTTGGTATAGCATATGCAATCGATGTCTTCAACCTTCACACCAGCCTGTCGCACCGCTTGCTTGATCAGCCTCACGACCCATGCTCGGTGATGTATCGCAGTGTCCTTTGGCAGAAAGCCCTCACCAGGTGGGGAAACATAGGTGTGCCGTAGATTCGCGAGGATAATGGGGGGTTTGTTCGGCGCTGGGTGCGATATCACACCGATTCCTATCTTGTTTGCACTTCCCTCCAGTCCTATAGCAATCATCTTTGGTCGTCGTCGTCGTTGTCGCGACTTGGGGTCGTTGATTGAGGGATGCGGGGTGACGTTAGAAAATGCTTACTTATCGATAAGTACAGAAGGGACCTGGAAGTCTGCCATCAATCGCGACTGGGGAAGGAGCGGTTCACCAGCTCAGTTAAAAAAAATTAGATTTTGAGCACATTCTATTGAACCAGAAGGTCGGGTAACATTTGTCGCAGCTGGAGTGCGCAATGCGACAAATGCACATGCAAGAGGCCGTTCAGAACGTTGAACAAGCAGACATCGGCCGTGGTAGCGAGTCAGGTGCTTCAGGGTCTGACGAGCACTCCCGCCCACACGATCCAGATTTTGCCTCCTCTCCTTCCTTCACATCTTTCCTACAAGCTCTTTTGCAATCCATCTTGTTTCAATCATCCGATACTCTGTCATCGCTGATGCCTCGGAGTATTAGTTGTCGCAAATACTTCGCACCCTAGTTCATCATAGCCCACATGAGCCAATAAGCGGAGCCTCGGCTCCCAGCCGCTAAGAATATCCACCAGAATAATCCCCATCCACCAAACATCTCACATCGCAACCACCACTTTTCCACATGGCCGACTTTGACGGTGCCAGCCAGGCCTTCTTGGCTTGGCTGAAGAAAACTGGTGCACAGATCAGCGCAAAGATTCAATTGCAGGATCTGAGAGCCAGGGATGCCGGTCGAGGCGTTGGTAAGTACCTTGCGCACCAGCGTGCGCCTAACCCCCTCCACACCCATCCTTGTGTATTCAGCTGCTGGCGAGGCCTGTACTGACATGCGCCAGTTGCGACACAGGACATTGCTGAACACGAGCTTCTCTTCAGTATACCCCGCACGTCTATTCTCAGCGTAGAAAACAGCATCCTTTCTACCGAGATCCCGGCCGCCACGTTCAGCCTCCTTGGCCCTTGGCTCTCTCTCATCCTTGGCATGCTTTACGAGCACCATAATGGATCCGCTTCAAACTGGGCTCCGTACTTCGCCGTGCTACCGACCGATTTCGACACGCTCATGTTCTGGACGGAGGATGAGCTGGCGGAGCTACAGGGTAGCGCGGTTGTAAGCAAGATCGGCAAAGACGGGGCTGATCAGGTCTTTACCGAACAGCTGCTACCTGTGATTGAAGAGTTTGCGGACGTGATTTTCAGTGGCGACGAGAGGGCAAAAGACAAGGCAAAAGAAATGCGAGCGCCGGAGAACGTGAAGCTGATGCACAAGATGGGCAGCTTGATCATGGCATACGCGTTCGACGTCGAGCCCGCAGTCTCGGACAAAGAGGTGGACGATGAAGGCTTTGCAGAAGAAGACGAAGATGACGCGCTACCAAAAGGAATGGTACCCATGGCCGATATGTTAAACGCAGACGCTGACCGATGCAATGCGCGTCTGTTTTACGAAAAAGACTGTTTGGAGATGAAGGCACTGAAGCCGATTCGAGCTGGAGAAGAAATATTCAACGACTACGGATCGCTTCCCAGGAGCGATTTGCTAAGGCGCTATGGGTACGTCGCCGATAACTACGCGCAGTATGATGTCGTCGAAATCTCTGCGGAACTCGTCTCGCAAACCTTGGCCAGCGAGGGCCTATGGCGCGAGGAAAGAGTCGAGTATCTGGACGAGGAAGAGGTGGTTGACACGGGGTACGACATTGCTGCAAGCACACCATTTACTGTCCAGGAAAGCTTTTCGCCCGAGCTCATCATATTGGTTGAAAGCATGCTGCTTCCGCAAGAAGAATTCGAGCGTCTGAAGAGCAAGGGAAAACTACCGAAACCCGAGAAAATAACTGCCAAGGGTGCAGAAGTTTTGCACAAGATTGTGCAAAATCGCATTGCGCAGTACCCGACATCACTGGAACAAGACTTACAGATCAGCGCACAGATGCCCCCTGCACAGACTACGGACCGCAAACAGCGCCGCATTGCCATGGCGAGGGCTGTGCGCATTGGAGAAAAGAAACTTTTAGAGCAGGCTGAAGAAGCGCTCGCAGACAAGATTGCAAGAGACGGCGGCGTGGCGGCCAAGAGAGCAAGAGAGGTGGATGAAGAGGGCGATGTAGAGATGGGAGGAACGGGAAAGAAGCACAGAGTTTGAACAAAGACCGCCAGGAACGAAAACAGAGCGATAACGAGCTACGGACTGCACGTATGCAGCAGCGAGAACACCAAGCGAAATGCAACAGCGCCCAGGCAACAGTAAGCTTTGGTACGTTTTCAATTTTTTATGTGCGCCGTGCAAGGTTTTCGCGGCACCTTGCAAGGCGTTTGAATGGTATATCCAAGAACTCCACATGGCTAACTTGTTCTTCTGTCCAGACATATTCCCCTCCACCCATGCATCCACCTTGCTTCCCTTCATCTGTGGGGCTAGTGTACATAACTTTGGTAGATCTCTGGATCCTCCTACGAATAAAACAAAGGGTATAACTTGCCGACACACCAACACCAATCCATCCTATGATCCAAAGCGCTGAACGAAGAAGAGAAGAATATCGAAGAAGAAATCACCTCCCCGCTGTTGGATTGGCAGCATGGGCGCCATTGGGTGCAGCTGGAGCAGGTGGAAGAAGATGTCCCGATGCGGATCGATGATGATTCTCAATCGGCCGGCGAGCATGGCCTGGCGGAGGCTGTTGAGCAGACTTCTCGCCCTGCCGCTCAATCATGATGCGGTATCTGATGTGCAGGTTATCCGTCCAGTCAACCGGATACGTTTCTTCATCTTCACTACTGTCACCAGCAAACCGCCATCGGTCTGCCATACGATCGTCTATCCTCTCCGTCTTCTGCCGCTTGACGCCCCGCCGATCAACCATCAAACGCCCGCCTCTCCCGATTCGCCGACGGAAGCGAGACTGGTCGTGGTACGGCACGTCGTCTGGAGGCGTAGCGAAGCGTATTCGCGCAGTTCTCCGCGGATCAGACTGCTTCCTCACCGGCGCCACTGCTGTGGCATCAGCACCTTCTTCGTCAGAAACAGAAGCAGGAGGCGTAGGAAGCTGACTCTCTGTGAAGACGGTACGGAAATCTGACTTGGGAGCGGCTGCTTCCAGAGGTGGCGTGATGGGTCGCCATGTCGCATCGACCCAGCCAACGTTCCATTTCTGGTGCTTGACCAGATTGTCTTCGATAAAACTATCGATTGCCTCTGTGCGCTTGGCTTGCTGCTCCTTGAGGTACACAATGTCGCCGTCGACGAGCCGACCATCTGGCCGAGTGTTTGGAGGTTTCATGCCAGGCAGTGTCTGGCGTTGTCTCTCCACGTCGACAGTTCTCTTGGGCTTAGGAGCAGGCTGGAAGGCATTAGTCTTGTGCAGAGCCTCTCCGACCCGGGTGCGGTAACATACCTTCTGCGTGATGAGCAATTCATCATCGTCGCCCTTGATGCTCAGTTTGCGCTTGAGCTCCTTGACGGCATGGCGCTGTTCAAAGATTAACTTGTCAGTGGCAAGCTGCTCTCTAATCATTGCCTCTCGTCGCTTGACCTGGGACATCAACAAGCGGGCTTCTTCCAGCTCCTTTCTCAGCTTCTTCAGCTTCTCGGTCACTTGGGCATCACGGCCGCGCGTCTTGCGGACCTGTCGCACCTCGCGGCGGCGGAAGCACACATAGGGATCAGCGTCATCGGTCTCGAGGTTGGTCTCGAACTTCAACGACGGCATGAGCGGGCGGTTGCCTTTGAGCAGCCGCTGGTTCTTCCAGTGTTCGTAAATGTCCTTTGCAAATCGTCGGGCGGATTCACTAATGGGCTCGTCGAACTCGGTTTCGAGCTCTTCATAAGCAAGCACAGGTGGGTTGTCGACAGCGGCAAATGGCTGCTTGGTCGAGGTTGTTTCCTCGAAAAAGTAGATGATTTGCTCAAACTCATCCTCGGAGCACTGGTCGGTCTTGCTCCGCTTCTGGTTGTAAGACTTGAGAAAGGCAACATCATCACTGGTCATGCAGTAGGGGCAGCCAGACGTATCCTCGACAGTAGACGAGAAGCGAATGTAAGTGGCAGGCTGCGTGAAGCGCTTGGGATAGAGGTCTTCATACTGCAGGTTACTGGCAACCGCCTCTGGAGTGGGGATGTAGAGCTGGGCTATCTTGCCGCCAGCTGCGCCCTGTGCTGCTGCCTGGGCGGCGGAGATGACGGCCTGCAAATGGTGTTCCTGGCGGGCGTGTTAGCATGTGCCGTTGCAAAAGACAGACAGGTAAGTGGTGCAAGACATGGTCGAGCAGTGGTGTCGACATAGAGAGAGGCAGCCCAAACAGGCCTAGCGCGACTTACAATCTCCTCGCCCTTCTCAACACCAGTCTCGACCTTTGGAATGTGGCGCGAGGCATCGTCATCGGCAAGCTGCTCAACCTCATTCTCGCGGACCACAGGTAAATTCTGCTTTGTAGAGAGCTTGCGCTGGCGAAAGCGCTGGCCGGTTGCGCGAGCCGTCATTGTTGTTTGTCGCTATGCACGTGATGAGTGGTTGGGCTGCGTATGGGGGTGCGATGCAAATCCTGGCGGCCCGGGGCGGACCAGCAAAGAGAGGAGTCACCGGCCCAAGAGCGCTTGCCGCCACCAACGCGTCGCAATATTCGCGATATGGGTGTCAAAATTGTCGCACGGGCTACAGAAAGCGATGTATCGCGTCCAAGGTGATGAAATGGGGGGGTGAGGGGCTGTTTTGCGATGGAAAAGGTTTTGGCGAGCGGCGATGTCGAGCGTGTTCAAGCGGTTGCGTTGGGGGCGGATTGGGAGGCAAGGAAGTGCAAGCGAGACTGACGAATCAGAGTCGAGGACGCGGGCAATACTTGGCCACTGCACTGCTCATGTTTACCTTTGCTGCACGCAATGCGCGCCCCATGCTTGCCTTTCACCATCTTCTCCCACGAGCGACACTAATGCACCGCATTGTCCTGCTTTGCAGTTGCTGCTGTTGTGTCCCACGGTTGCGTGAGGAGGCCCGTCCGCATGCGGTCTAGCGTTGGCGTGCCCGCACGGTCTTGCTATCCGAGAGCTGATGTTGCATCCCGACTCCAACATTTGCAGCCATGGCGACGACAACGTGTTTGCAGATGCGGCAATTTGGGAAATGAAATCTGCGCTTCTTTTTTTTGGTTCATGCCCTTTTGCATCAAGCCTTGTATCAAGTGCTCCAGAGTAGCTTGTCGCACGCAAGAGACGGAACTCCGGCCATTGGCTGCTTAGTGACTAGGTACAGTCATGATATATACGCTATACCAGACACCATTCTGTTTCTATATGGCTGCATAAAAGCCATGCCACCACGTGTTCCTATCAAGTTTCTTGATCAAATTACCTCATTCATGTCGCGCAATCGGCCGTTGCCGGTAGATTGGGGG